GTCCTGTTTTTCACGCTTACCCTGTTGCTGCTTGTCCAACTGAATTTCCCCACGGGGATTAATAAAGGTCCATCTTATCTTATCCTATATTATATGCTCTGTATAACACACTGATATCGCCACATCTGAGTTACTGTGTGGAGATTTGGAGAAACACAAACCAACCTGCAGCCGTTATGCACATTACAAAAAAGGGCTATAAGAATAATCAATAATGTTGGATATCTTGAACACACTCATTCATTATTCTTGAAGTCACACACACTGAAGTTTACTGATCTGGTTACATTTAAAACTGCACAAATCATGTACAGAGCAAGAAATAATCTACTTGCTAGGAAATTACAAACATAGTTCATAGACAGAGAGGGGGGGTATAACCTGAGAGGAAATCTACATTTGAAACAACTCAAGGTCAGAACAACTCTGAGAAGTATGTGCATAACAATCTGTGGGGGGGTGTTATGGAATGGTTTGGAGCAGGAGTTCAAACAAAGCACACATATAAATTAAAACAAGACAGGGGATGAACACTTTTTAAAATATCACACCGTCATATTTATTGGGTTGTAATTTAATCAGATTTGTTAATCATTTGCTTTGCTGCAGTGATCAGATTCGTTTTGACTCTACAGCTATTCCTGTAAGTCACAAAGAAACTCTTCAATTACAGGAACTCTCTGAAGCTACAGTATCAAGTTATCCTCCTGAGACCCAGAAAGAAAAAGGTTTCAAATGTCCTTCTTTTTTGTTGATCACACAAGTCTTTAGGGTGGTATAAACATAATGACTAACAAAAACTAAAAATATGTATTTTTATTTTTGTTTCATTGTGTGTCCTTTGTAGAGGACATCGGGTGTTAGTAATGCGAAGCGTAGTATACAAACAACATTAACATACATTCATAACAAGTACATTTAGACAACATTAGAGCACAACAACTCAATGCAACAAATACTGAGCCCTCATTTGTAGTATTCCATTCTTTTTTGAAATGCAGAGATACATCTGACACTTGAGGCACTTGATGTATGTTGTAATATGTAATATATCTTTGTAATGGCTCCTGGTGCAGACTTAACAATGATGAATAACTGTAGATTCAGTCTCACCAGTGGTGCGTGGTGTGCATGTGCATGTAATTATCTGCGACATGAATGATATGCCTATCTTTCAACAACCTCTTATCTCCATCAAATGATCCCTTGATTAAATGGAATTAGTCTCATTGAGTAATAAATAACTAAAAAGGTACAAGAGACCAAATGTTTATACATTACATGTTAGACGCTTTTATTCCAGAGCGACCAATACTGTGGACAGTCCCCACAGGAGCAATTTGGGGTGAAGTGTCTTGCCCAGGGACACAACGACATGCTGATCCGAACACCAGCGCACTAGTTCACTGCGCCACATGCTTTCTACATCACAAAATCATTGTTTGTGTTGCTCTAACTGCTGGATGTTTAAATATGCAACACATTTGTCATATCAACTTAAAGGTTGATAATAAGTCAATGTTTTACCTACAACTCATTTTGGCTGTCCCTAAATGGCCTCAAGTTATTTCAGGATAAAGAAGGGGGATTTCACTTTTATTCCAAGGCCACAAATGAAACACTTTAGGATCAAACCTGAATGGCTTAACATAACAATAATATTTATAAAAAAGGTGCTGCCAAATATTAAATCAAACTTTCCCAAAACTACACAATATTCTAGTATTTATGTGTGATTTAAGACAAGCCAAGAACAGTTTTACAGCAACATGTTATCCCAAAAGAGTGATTAATAGAGTGCATAGTGAAGGTTTAATCTCAAAATATGAGAGAAGCCAGAAACAGGGAGTCTCAACCTCAATCCTTTCATGCCTCACGAGTGAGATCATGTTTCCATAAACACACACACGCACACACACACACACACACACACACACACACACACACACACACACACACACACACACACACTAAAAAAGAACAGAAAAGTTCATTTTTAAGATTGATGTAATGTTTATTTTTACATCCATTTTTTGACAATTCAACAATAAATTAAAGAACAAAATAACTGTACAACAAAAAATTGATTTCATATTTACAAAATTAGGGATTTTATATATACAGTGATGTAATGTCGTGATAATGACATTACACATCGGGCTGTGCTAGCAAATAATATTAGGCTCGTCTTGATCAAATGGCTTCTTGCTTCTTTACAAATCACAATCAAAGTGCAATTTTCAAATATCCCTTTCATAAAATGTAACCCATGAAATCATCATCATACACGTTTTTACGGATTTCTTTTAAACTTTTAAGACAATAATTTACTGATTTTAGTTTAAGTTGACATCTCTTTTGAAGTGTTCTGAACCATTTGTAGTCTGCTGGTACTAGCACATTCTAACATTTAGTATGTGGTAGTAGTATCTAAGTGTAGTCATTGTCACAGTCTCTCAGCAGCTTATGTTGGGTGACTCCTGTCTGGTGGAGCTCAGGCACGGACGGAGCCTCTCCTCCCGTTCCCCGATGGAGCTCTGATGTTCTGTCGGCACAGCGGGCAGGTGCCAAACTGCCTCAAGACTTTGGAGGCGCACTGGTTGCATAAACACCGGTGGCCACAAGGCAGAGTGATGCTGGCCTGTGTCTCCATGCACACAACGCAGCACGATGTCTCTCCATCTGTGATCAAAACAGAGGAACCATGATTACAAATCTACATAGACAGGTTCTCTCTGGTCAAAATGTGCAATACACTGAAATCAAATGTGGGTTTGAAGGACTCTTTCTTACCTCCTGGGCCTTCGAGAGAGGAGATGTATTCATCGCTGTTTCCATTCAGACATGAAGAATCAGTCATCAAACTGCAGTGGTTGTCAACCTCAGTTGAAGTGAGGCATTCAGGTACAGGACAGGAGCGTCTGGTGCAAAAGAAATCCCTTTTCTCTGAGCCTGCAGCAAGAAGTAGAAGTATTACAATATGTTCTAACACTAAAACAATTATTTTGTATGTGGCTACTGTAAATAAGCAGGAAGAAGACAAACAGGCTGCACAGCGAGCATGTTGTTATGATAGTAAACATACCCAGGAGGGAGATGGAGCACGTCTGTCCGTAGATGTCTATCATGGCCCACAGCGGCCGGCTGAGATCCACTCCTGACAGCAGCTTTTGCTCCCTGCCGTTGTTTCCGCTGATGTACATGGTGCCTCCAGCAGAGACCCAGAACTCCAGCTCGACGCCTGCCTGGCGGAAGGACTCTTGCACAGGAGCCGCCCAGTGCCCCGGGGTCTCCGTGAGGTTGGGGATGGCCATGATGGGCAGGGGCATAGATCTGGCCATGGGATGCACCGTGGTGACGCCCAGACGCAGACCTCCGTTCCAGTTGAAGGAGTCCTTCTCCACCCGCAGGCGGACCCTCTCCTGGACCTTCAGCGGGCGGCTGCTGAACACCAGGCCGTTCTTGAAGGTGTTTTCCCTCCTCTCCGCCAGGAGGCCCCCCCGACTCAGACGCACCATGTCTCCCACCGACTGAGAGTGGAAGCTGAGCGGGCCGAGGCAGGACCAGCAGCACCTGTGAGGCCTTTGATCTGGAAAAGAATTATAATAATAAAGTTAGGAATCGTTATGAAAGTGCGTCACAGAGACAACAACAAGCTGAGAAGATTTCTGCACTGCCAATGTGTGCAGAAATATTTATTTGATGTCTTAATTTCATCTGACTTGTTGATTGTAATTCATCATAGTTTTATATGATGTTGCTGTGTATGCCCTGTAACAAAAATAATGTCTTTATAAAGGGCAATTCAACATTTATAACCGGATGCTACTTAATCTTTAACCTTTACTGCAAGGTTGAGTGGATATTGATTAGGAAAATGAAAACGAGAGAAAACGAGTAATACTGAAACCAGCACATGTGATTTGACTTTGGAGGAGCAGAGGATTAATCATTCAAGTGAACCCTGAGTCCATTCACAAGATGTGTTCATCTGTCAAAGGACGGCTTGCAGAAACTGATGAGACTCTACCCAAATGAAGCATTAAGAAACCACGAGCTGTATGTAAAGCATTTCAGTGACAAGCTGAACGTTTCCAGCAAATGCTTTTGGCAAGGATTAACTCCTTCATCATAAAAGCCCTTATCTCAGCTGCTAATCATCCTTTTCTACAGCCGTTATCATAAAGACCTGGCTTCTGTTTTGTATTCAACATTATCAAATCTTTAGTTTCAGAATGACCAGATTAGTGGCTTGCAGCATCTCCTAAAAAAAGATGTATGGATGATGTCTATGTTCATTTAAAAGGAATTTTTAACTTACTAACCTTTTTTTTGTCGACAATAATATGTTTTAATTAAAATTGAAAAAACATTTATTTTCTTACTTTTTACATAAAATGTACTTTTGCTCCAACATGAGAAGTGAAAATAAATGTCTCTAAAATGATTGAATTTGAAAATGTTGATATCATTTATATTTTCTTATTTTAGTATGAGTACTAGGTTAAATAAAAACATTAAACTATAAATTAATGTTGGCGAACCAAATGTAACTAAATATCATTTTGACATACAGCAAAATAATATTGCACCAACATTTTTTAACTAAAAAGAATAACTAATAATTTGGACAAGCCCAAATTATTAGTTATTTTTAATGAGAAATTGAGATGGTTGTTATTGACAGAATAAATTCCATATGAATGTCTCTGCAAAGATTAAAGGCAAGGCAAGTTTATTTATATAGCACCTTTCAACACAAGGCAATTCAAAGTGCTTTACAAAAAATGAAAGACATTAAGAAAATGGCATTTAAAATCAGCCTGAGGGAGTATCTGAACCTACTGAGCATGAAGCGTGCAGCCTCTCTGCTGGGGGATTTTGAGGCGAGACAGGAGGATTGCAGTTCACTGTCCGCAGCTCTCCTATCTGACCCTGTGTAATGTATAATGTATCGTGTATGTAATGTCCTATGTATGTCACAATCAGCTGTCTTAGGAAGTCATCCTTGCATCCCCCCCCCCCCCCCGTTACGTTTAGTTTAGTTGTTTGTTGTTCCCTGTTTTGTTGTATGTTCTGTTATCTGGAGCAATGTCTGTTTATTTTATAACTGAAAAAATATATATATATAAAAAAAAAATTAAAAATGGCATTTAAAATCAGTCATTAAAAAGCAAAGATAATAAAATAAACATGAAAAGAAAAAATACATGGATAAAAGTTAAAATTGTAAATAAATCTCACCAGAGTTCCTGTTGCTAGTGTCCTTCACCATATTGAAGAGGCAGAGGTTATGTTCTTGTGGTCTGTAGAGTGCATGTGCTCTTGTCTGTATCTTGGATCGTTTGGCCTGAGGTGCGGTGTTGTCCTGCTTTTAAAGCTAGCTGCATGTGGGGCATGTAAACACTAACATCCCGCCCTCATCAAACTGAAAGCAGGAGGCCTGAGGGAGGAACCATAACATGGAAAGTTACCTTCATCTGACAGCAGGGAGTTTTTTGTTGATGTTATGTCCTTCACTGTGTAATTTAGGCAGATTATAAAAGAGAATCAGTTTCGTTCTCTGTCATCAGGCTGTGATATAGTGTTATCATAAAACGATATCACAGCATTATCTTCTTATTATTAGCAACATTATTTAATGTCACCATAAAACTTATATGGAGACATTAAATAATCAAACAGGATTGTTGAATTCTCTTTCAACGTCTTGTGATTGTGTTTTTGTACTACAATATATATTAAATGCACAGCTTGCAGGTCTTTCTTACTATTGTGTCCTTCGATTGCAATTGTTTTTTATTTAATGTTGCAGACTATAATAACTTCTTATTTCTGCGTGTGCACCTTTCTCATGTATTCAACAAGCAAGCTCTCGTGTTCCAGTTTCCTGTCCTGTCTTGTGTTTACTGTAAATGGGATGCATCCGATATTCTGTATATGATTCTTAGTTGCTATTTTACTAATATTTGATTGTCCTCACGCACATGTTGCTGTTTTGTTTGGGAAATAGAATGCAACATGACCTTTTTACATAGAAACACTTCAAAAGGACCCTTTTTTAATCTTTTTTTTTTTTACATTTAAACTTAAAAAAGCAAGAATCCTGCAACTATGCTTTCAATAAGCCAACACATTGTTGGTGGTTATTATACAAGGTGCAGTGGATTACATCATGGGAAATACCAGCAACATTTTGGATGTCACTTCCCTGTCTGGCCCAGTGGAATTGAGGGAGTGTTTGCAATGATCCTTATACTCTGAACAGCACCTCAGATGATACACCAGTGTGTGTCGAGTTCTGTCGCCCTCTGCTGGACACACACTCCGTAATTTCTTAACACCTCATTGGTTGGCAGCCCGGAGCATGTGACAGGATGAAGCCATGTCTGGAAACCAAAAGTTACATCACTCTCGGAAAGTTACTAACTTTTTTCATTTTATGACAAATTATCACATGACTTTTCCGAAAAAAAAACAGCATCCCATGACTTAGAAAAACACTTTAAGTATATTCTGACTGATCAGCTGCAGGCATGTTTTAATGTGACTGCAAATAAGCTTTGGATGTTTTGAAGAGAGAATGCTTGATTCTTGACATGCAGTTCTACTGCGTAGGCCGTGTGTGTGAGTGTGTGTGTGTGTGTGTGTGTGTGTGTGTGTGTGTGTGTGTGTGTGTGTGTGTGTGTGTGTGTGTGTGTGTGTGTGTTCAAAACGTATTTTTAAAAATTAAAAAAATATTTCAAACATGAAATCATTCTTGTGTGGAACGAAATAAAAAAAAATAAAAAAAATGGCATAAAACATATTATTGTAATGAAAAATTGTAGGGTCCAATAACTTGTGCATCTGAGGGCTAAGAAAAAAAATGGAAAATACAATTACATTTAAATTAGATTGACCAAAATGTATTATTGTCACATTGTCAACCTAAAAAACCTTCATAACCATTAATACAACTTTGGATTAATTAAACTTTTGCTGGTTGAATATTGAGCTTATTGTTGCATGATGGTGACTTCACACTGCACTAGAGAAAATATTTAAAAAATAAATTGGGGGGATATTTTTTAGTTTTCTAACATAAAACCCTACAACACAGTAGGCCTATTATGATATATATATATAAAAACTCATGATTCATATTCATACTAAGGATAAGATGTGGTTTATTGAAACCGGAAGACGAAGATAAGAGAATCTGTGAATAATGAGGTTCCAGATTTAGATCTAATATCTCAAATATCTTTTGGACAATCGATGTTTGTGTTTTTTTTAATAAATACAAAGAAAAGTAGGGAAAAAACCCTAATGATAGAAATGTGGATCACATTGTAATTTAAAATGCTGCATGAAAGTAGATTATGTTTCATTTGGGTAATGTTTTTTTTTTTTTTTACAATAAAACACATATTTTGCTTTAAAACCACATCTCACCACTGATAAACTGGGACATATATCAGTCCTTCTTCTCCTCCTCTGTGTACCCGGTGCTCAGCTGCCTCTGCTCCACCACACTTGGTCAGACATGGCAGGCCATCAAAAAATCAACTTGCTCCCTCTCCACCTGTTCAAAACACTATTAATCTGCTGCCTTCCAATAAAAGGCTTGGCTCTCAGCGAGGAGCCAATAGAGAGGCATTAAAGCCGTGAGACCCAGGCCAATCCCAGGCTGCATTCTAATATGGCCTATCTTTATCAAGGTGCCACTCCATTTCCAGATACTGCTTATTTATGACCTCTGAGGAGAGCGCCGGCGGCAGGCATGCGTCTTTAGCAGAACAACTCAACCTGAATCCAGAGGGCTCGCCTGCGACATTAGATATGGGATTATCACAGAACACACTGTGGCTGAGAAGAGGTGAAGAGTTTATCTGCGTTTTCTGATGTGGTAGGAACTTTTGTAAACACCGGGACTTTAAAATCGCTCTTTGCTATTTGAATATCTGGAAAGAAAGTGGGTTTGATCCCAGATCCAAGACCTCGCCTGTGGGTGAGGAACTCTGTGTGGGCCTATCTGAGTTCTATTCCTGCTTGGACCTTATTGGATGTGTCACTGGAGTCAGAGTTACACTACCTCCCATGGATCCAAACATCCAGGGGTCTTTCCTGTTCAACAACAGCCTGAACCAGTTCTCCTCTGAGCTCAAGGCCCCGGTGTGCCAGTACTCTGTGCCCAACTCTTTCTACAAGCTCAACCCGGCTCTGAACAGCCAGCTGCAGCCGGGGACGCCGCACACCATCAGCGACATCCTGAGGAGCTCCATGATGGGGATGGGCGCCACGGGGACCACCACCCTGCTGTCCGGATACTCCACCATGGGGGGGTTCAGCCCCTCCGTCAGCAGCACCTCCATGTACTATAACCGAGACTACAACTCCCCCCTCGGCGGGTTCTCCAAGCCCGGCGCAGAATGCTCCATGAAGGGTCGCAGCTGCTGGGCGGAGAGCGGCTGTGAGTGGAGGGGGGGGCGGCAGCCGTGCACCAACAGTGAGTCTCCATNATTTTTCTGGAAATTATTGCGATAAACGATAATATTGTCGGCGCCGTTTTAAGACCATTTTAGACATAATGATAATATATAATAATAATTCAAGTACATGATGTACTTGAATTATTATTATATATTATCATTATGTCTAAAATGGTCTTAAAACGGCGCCGACAATATTATCGTTTATCGCAATAATTTCCAGAAAAATTTATCGTCCAACACAATTAATTATCGTGACAGGCCTAGTTGCCTCTCTTTAAAGCACCTCAGCTCACAAATCAGCTGAATATGGTTAACAACCCCCTCTGCTACTTAAATGACCACATCCATATCCCAGAAGTTTAATTGACTTGATGCTATACTCCGATTAAAAAGTGTTCCTTTTTTAGCAGTGTATATAACATAGGTCTAGTCTTTTTTGGACATTTAAATGTGTTTAAAAAAGCCACTGTGCAAGCTAGGTAGTTAACGATAGCAAGTTAGCTGACAACAAACATCTTTTAAAAAACAAATTACAGTGTACAAAGTAAACACTATCCAGCAGTGTAACCGTTACAATATGAGTATTATCTGCTGACTTCACTGACTCAGTGTCCATTCAATCTGAAGTATAAACAGAGCCAGGAATCCCTTTTTACTGTGGTGATTCACTACGGGTCAACTCTGACACTGACACCACAGACCTCTAGCAGCTGTGTTAGCATGGGTAACATTAGGGAAAATGTGATTTTAGCATTATTTTCTGTCTAATTGAGAACTAACACCAAACTAATACAAAGTGAACATACTACCAAACAATGCATCACGTAATAATGATCAGTCCAGCAGCGGTATTCCAGTAGTATAAACTGCTGCTTTCCTGGCCGGTGATACAGTATACAGCAGTGTTGTGTTTACAGTGAGAGCCTGTAGCAACAGTACGGATTCTAACTCACGGATCTGGCCAAGTTAAAGACAGTCGCTCCATTCAGAAACAGCAGAGGACACAGGGTGAACCGTATGACACCTCCCCTCCACAAACACACTCAGTCATGACTCCATGACTCCTGATTCCAGTTTCCTCAATAGTTTACGTATGACAGCTTCTCAAGATTATAGGCGAAACATACGTTTCCTACTTATGGTTAATTTGACACAACTGAAATTGTGAAAGACTGAAGAAAATGTTTTTTTTTCTTCATTGTGTTTACCACAGTATTTATCATAAAGTAAAAATTAGACCCAGAAGAGACGAAGAAAACCTCCCCAATTAATGTATTTGATGCACACTTACTCTCAGTGGTATAAGTACTCAGACATTTTACTCAAGCAATAGTAGAAACAGTCTATAAATACTCTGTTACAAGTAAAAATCGTGCATTTAAACTCTCACGTAGGTAAAAGTACAAAGGTATTGGCATCAAAAAATACTTAGAGTACCAAAGGTAAAAGTACGTATAGTGTGTAATGTCCCGTCGTAGAATCATATATTATATTAGTGGATGATTTATTTGTATGCAGTAATGTGTTCATTACAGCTGTTAAAGATGGAGCTACTTTAATTCAGAAATCCTTTATTGGTCCCACAATGGGGAAATGTACATCATTATAACAGCTGATGTTGCAGATAAATGGCTTAGTAGGCTATGCACAGAAAGTAAAAAATAAATAAAAATAAATAGCAGGTACACCATGGTAATTACTTTATTACTGAATGTGTAAAGTAACTAGTAGCCTAACTCATTTGGTCAAATAAATGTAGTGGACTAGTATGATATACAAAGTACAATATTGGCACCGAAATTGATGTGGGGTAGAAGTATAAATTAAAGTAGTATAAAATTAAAATGCTCAAGTGAAGTAAAAGTACCCCAAAATCGTACATGAGTAAGATACTTGAGTAAATGTACTTTACTATGACACCACTGCTTATTCTGTTAACTTTGGTAATTCTGTCTCGCGCCACTCAGGTCTTTCTTTGCTTTTCTTATTGAGATATATGCAACATTGTTCTTCATTTTTACCTAAACATTTCTGCTATATGATATTTTATTCGACTGTATTCCACCATTAAGTTGTGTAGGCTGTATACAGGGGGAAACAGCTATCTGCTCACAGTGAAAAGCGACGCAGGGAAACGGCAGGAGAGTGGAGTGATGCTGCGTGTGACCCGTCCGCTAACTCCCACAACAAAACCGTTACACACTGGCCGTGTCCCCGCCTGGTCCCCAGTCGACCTCTGAGAGGCATGTAATCCCCCAGCCAACACACACATATGGGATTAAGGTCAGGCTACTTACGCTCTCGGTCTGGGGAAGCCCATAGATAACAGCACGTCCAGGTTGGAGCCACATTTCACTGAACCTGCTCGGTTCTGCCGTAGCCTCCGAGGGAGGATTTTACTGTAGAGGTCCTCTTTGGCAGCCATGGTCCACTGGGTACCCTACTCCGCTACAAACCCGATACAGTCCACCACCACACCTCCAGCTAGTACATGAGCGTCGGCCGGGTCCGCATGAGTGAGAGGGGAAGGCAACAACACCGAGCGGAGCTGAGAGCAGCGCTGTGCGGCCAGGCAGAGCCCTGCTACGCCGCCCACTGGAGGAAACTGCAAATTAATTAGACCTGCTCACTGAATACACACAGTAGCCTACAGGAAAACAGTACACAATATATGAGAGGGTTAAAGGAAAACATGATAATATAATGTTATTGGCAGTGGTGTAAAGTAACTAAGTATACTAAAGTACTGTACTTAAGTACAATTCTGAGGTACTAGTACTTTACTTGAGTATTTCCATGTTATGCTACCTTGTAATACAACTCCACTACAATTCAGAGGTACATTTTGTACTTTACTCCACTACATTATACAGTTATTTAGCAGATATGGATTAATGATCAATTACATATGATCAATTATTAATTAAATAAGACTAAAGTTACACCTGGATTCAATTTACATGCTACTCAGTAGTAAAGCAAATAATACAACATTTAAAAAAAAAACAAAAAAACATTTGTTCCACCTTTACAGGGCTTGATAAACACATTGATGCATCAATGATTATAATGAAAATATATAATATATATTATTCTGAAATGGGCAAAGCAAGTACTTTTACTGTTGGTAACTTAAGTATATATTTAGATGCCAAACTTTTGTGCTTTTACTAAGGTAACATATTGAATGCAGAACTTTTACTTTTAACAGTGTATTCCTTCACTCTGGTAGTTGTTCTACTTAAGTAAACGATCTGAGGACTTGACCCACTTCTGCTTAAACTAGTTTGAACTACTGTATAGACTATATTTATGTACAGGTTGAATAATGTTGCTTTGAGAATTGGAATTGGCATGACTATTACAGGTGAACAATAAAACTGAGAAAACACTGACAACGATACAGTTGCTTTTAATTTGTGTACAAAAATTACATTAATTATACAAAGATAATATCTATAAAATATCACAAGTAGAAAAATAATTACATAATTTTCACATTACTGCGATTGATATATTTGACTTAAGGTCATTCTCGTGCAGAACCTTACATTTCCATGTGATCATCATTGTCATATAATCTGAAATAAAAATGTAAAATATGCAGACTCTCTTATTGTCCAGAGATCAAGTGACGCAAATCCTGATGGATGATAAAGCACCATTTGATCAATCTGATTAATAATTACACACAGTATCCCCAAAGATTTAATCACCTAATGGCAACCCTGATTTTTCTTTTTTTAACAATGGCTTTCTTATATTTTCATGTATCAGAATACCTTTATTCATCCCACAGAGGGGAAATTTACACATTTGATCATAAAACAATCATGATCTCCGCTGTCTGTTTTAGTAATAAGGGCTATGAAATGATATCGGGCCTCACTGAGGGTTGCACTCTGCCATATCCAGCTGATGGCCATGAGCTGGCCTCGGGTAGCCCTGACTGAGTCGTGGGGAGATGTGAGGCTAGTGTTGGCCGCCCACAGTGCTGGCAGATGGGTTGTATGGAGCGATGACACAGAAGACACAGCCTGCCTCCTGGAAAGCTTGCCTCATTTCCACCTAGTGGGAAAAACACAGACTGCATTAAACAGCATTGATTCACAACTAAAGTACACACTCAGAATTTGCAAACTATAACAGGTTAATTACTGTTAAATCTTAAGACCTCAAGTCCAAGATCCTGTCAAATGACACTATATGGAATTATAAAAAGGCCTGAGCTTTGACATACTGTGACGTTAGGAATAGTTTGGATCTACTAACAAAACCTCGCAGAACTTGGGATTTGCTGCTCCACTGCTGCCTCGATTGGTTCATTTTATTTTATTTATGACTCTGATGTATCTGAAATAACCCTTTAAACAACACAAACTACTAAGCATCCTGCAACCTTCATGTTCCGCAAGCAAGAAATGCCGTTTTTGTCAAAGATGGCTTTAAAAAGAGCATCAAAAAAGGGCTTTTTGACAGCAAGGTAAAGTGAGAATTTATTCTAAACATAACCTACACTTAAACTGATAGTGATTTATTTTAGGTGTCTAACAAATATTTAACCCTCCCTATTTTTGGGTGTTGACTTTGCATAAGAAAAATATAATTGTATATATGGCGAAGTTTCAATTGATTCTAAGCTCCAGATGTTTTTCGATATTACGGACTAACTTTGGCCGCAGCAATTAGACACTGCACGCTGACATAATATTTGTAGTTACTTTGAATGTTGAATTTAAAATTCTGTTGAAATTTAAAAAAGGTATAAATGCAGAAAAAAGAAAATAAGGAAATGTTACTTTAGATTTGAAGTCATCCAAATACTATTGTTACGATATACGATACGATAATACTTTATTGGTCAGATCAAGTCTGAAATTTGAGTTGCGTCACAGCAGCTCCATGTCCAACATCAACAAACAAAGTATCCAGACACAATACATGAAACACAAACAACAAACATTTAACATAACAGCACAATCAGTGAGAGAAAACATGCTCAAAGAACCTTCAGCGTGCATTTGATCTGGGATTTAGCTCTGTATTTACTGTGAGGATTGACTGATGCACGAAGGAGTGCTTCAGTCTGACTTTATTTAATCGTGGGACCCTGTATCTCCGATTAGAAGGTAGCAGTTCATATTCACTGTTCAGAACATGGTTTGGGTCAGAGATGATGTTGTTGGACAGCCTCACTAGGTTGTTATGATAGGCTGAGTCATAGAGTCTCTGACAGGGTTGACCAACAATCTTTGAGCAGATTTTTAACAGGTGGAGCAGTTTTGATTTTAAAGCTGCTGACAAACATTTGTACCAGGTAGTATTGCAGTACTGCAGAATAGACAAGGTCACAGATGTAAAGAACAACAGAAGAATTTCTCTGCTCTCCCCAAAAGACCTAAGACGGCAGAGTTGTTTCTGCCTTGCTTGACCTTTTCCAGCTCTGTTTCTACCTGGACAATTTACAATAAAGGACTTTTCTTTAAAGTTACTTTGGTGTCCTCCCTGCTTTGCTTCCAGCGTGACAATGAAGGCAAGTAGTGAAAGACAAGCAGATGGTTCGCCCTTTGAGTGAATCAGTTTCAAGATTCCAGGTTGGGGAGTAATGGATTACATGTAACGGGATTACGTAATCACGATACAAAAACGGTTGCTTTATTCCCTTTTATAATTGCATTACTACTTCCTGAACTGTCTTTTGAGAGGCAGGTTTTATACTAAATCTCTTTCCTGTTACATAATACACTTCAGTAAAAAGCGTATTACATGTATTTTCTCTTATATGTATTTCCTAAAGTTACTGCAAGTAATCAGGTTACTTTATCTTTATATTGTGATGCTCAGATTAAGCTACTGATTGCATTATTTCACAGGTGAATGGTCATTGTTAGTGATTGCATTTTTAAAGTGACCTTTCCAACCCTCCATTTACGCATCAGACATTGCTCTTCAGCCGTTCACCAACACTACTGCAGTTCATTGGACCCCCAATCAAAATGATAACATCATGTTGGAGTTTGACCTGCAAAGACTCCTTTCTTTTTCCTACAATTCACCTATCAAATAACTTAATTTACTTCCACCACATTTTTCTGTTGTCAGTCCTCCAATGTCCCATTTTATAAATCCTTTATTTCATCTATTATTTTATGTTGTTTTTTTGTACACTGTCGAAATTTGAAGGCGGACACTAGGGACCACTGACGTTAGTCTTCTATCCTACTTGTATTTTGCACACCTTTCCTCCCCCTTTCATATATATGCCTATTTCTTTCATGCATTGTAAAATGACTTTTGCCGCAAAAACCATATTGGGACCAAATAAGGTTGAAAAAGATGAACCATTTTCTATTTAAATGGCTTCATGTGTCAATAGTTCATGCTGTCTGATGTTCTGCATGGAGGTTACAAAACACTGAGGTTGGCACTGAAATGTGTTGTTACATCAGGCAGATTCTTCTGCAGATGTAATCTTCAAGAAAGGATTTAGGATTGAACAAAAACCCATTCTTGATCATGTTGTGGTACATAACATGACGGTCATTGTTGGCAGTGTGTCACGGCCCAAACTGCCCCTGTGTGTCCCTGTTTGTTCCCCTGTGTGTGTGTGTGTGTGTGTGTGTGGAAGCCGGGGTGTGGTTTACCTTGCAGGCAGCAGCCTGATTGCACTCACCTGGCCGACCGACTCAGCTGTCCCTCATCAATCCAATCATGACACAGCATATCTACTCCAGTCTCCCAGCAACTCACCACCAGATTGTTCACCAGTGGTATTGCATCCTCCTGGCTGCTCAGTTCAGTTATCTTGTCTGAGTGTTTTTCTGCACTAGTTTCTCCTTGTGCTTCCAGTGCCATCCCTCAGCCATCGACCACCAGAGCTTCCAGCCAACCTGCCTGCTTCTCCCTTCACCATACCTGCCTGCCTTGTTCTCAATCTAGCCTGAACTGCCTACTCTCCACTCCGGACCTCCATAGTCTCCAAATCTGCCGGAGTTTCCGAACAATAAATCATTTAAACATCTTAAGTCATTGCCTGCGCCTGGGTCCTGCATGTTTAAAACAAAATCCTAACACAGTGGGTCACAAACCACACAAACTCAGCCACCTGCCATGGGACACGACAGACCTTTAGATATATTGGGTTCATTTATGTATTCTGTATTCTGTATATTGCATGTGTTTTCAAACTCTTGTTCTTCTCATTAAAAAATAGTAAATAGATATGACAAAGTAAGTGATTTGTATTTATCTTTGTCGCTAAATATACTCAAGTATTGAAGCCTTTATGAAACCAAAGCACCCCCTTGTCTAAAGGCCTCATTCAGAGAGAATTATAACTTGAATATACTGTTAACTTCCTCCAAAATGTGGAAGCTAATGGTTTCAACATTATCTCTGTAGTCCAACGCTGCAAAGAGAAATACACCTTGCAAAGGCTCTTGATAACGTCAAATGTAGGTCATTTAATCCATTTCTAAATAGCATATTAACTGTAAAGCAATATTCAAACCCTTACCAAGATATGGTATTATTATAATATCTTTTAAACTTTATCCATTTAATTTGTTTGTTTTTGGGTTGAATTGGGAAAGGGGGTAGGGATTTGGTTTTGAAGGTCACCTATTATGCAAGATCCACTTCTTCATGTCTCTTCTACATAACCATGTGTCCCCTCTGTGTAAAGACATTCTGAAAGTTTCAGGAACAAAGATTCTCTCTCTTTTTGTCCTGATCCATTTCTATAAAAACCTGTTAGAAAATGAGCTGATCAGATTTTGGCCACTGTATGATGTCATAACGATTTTTTGGCTTGTGTGACCATTAGCCAATCACCAACCAAGGTAACCCCCCCCCCCCTTATCACCTGAATCTCTTCCTAGAGCACCATTGTGTTCTTTTTAACCAAATCTCTCTCAGAGGGGCGTGGGGAGGGGCTCCTTATTTTCATATAAAGTAACAGACAGAGAATCAGCTCTTTTGAAACAGGGTGAAGCAGAGGGGATTATGGGATGCTGCCATGATCTGTTTGGTGTTTGGAGCCAAACACTTCAGAGACATGTTTCATATCTGAGACCTCTAACATATTGATGAAAAACAGTATAATAGGGGACCTTTAAAGACTGTAAGGGGAATCAAGAGCCCTTTGACATTAGTTGATGAAGGTCATAATATGTGTGGAAAAACTAAAATGACATGTTTGTTTAGAAAAAGGGACGCCTCTGGGCTTGCTTCAGGGCAGGAGAACTCGCACCAAGATGTCGTTTGAAATGCTTTTATTGGTTTAGTGCATATAAAAGTTAGAAAATATCCCAAAACTGAGATCACATGTTTCATTCCTTAAATAGACATTAGGTTGCTAGACTTAATTACAGAGGCTAAGAGGCTAAATTACATCAGTAAATCACTAAATCAACTACTAACGAATCAATAAATATTCCTCCGGTCTGTTCTGTGGGAGAGAAGGTCAGCAGAAATTATAACATCAATGATGTCAACATTAGGACTAATCCTTTCTACAAAACAACTTGGCGAATATCTATTTCCTAATTAAGATCGGGATTCTCTGAGTCATAAACAAATGAATGAGTCCCCCTCTGAACCATCATTGTATACTTATGTTCTAATGATGACCTTCAGTATTAAAAATTCATAAACGCCAGACGCCTTATGGCCGAGGTCATCCCAATCAGTCACAATCAATGGTAGCATTACACAACCAGCTGTAGATAAGATTAGGTGACACACTGTTGCTATTTCTGTGACATGTTCTGCAGATTTGTTACATGATTGACAGGAGTTAGTCAACAAATGTTGTTTACACCCTCATGGTGTTACTGTACATGAGCGTTTTCTCTTGAGGAAGTAGATACAGGTATTCCACGAAACAGACAGACAGAGAAGATCAACATTTCAGAACCCATGTGTTCAGTAAACATATTTAAACTGATATCTAAATATCCATCTATTCTTAAATTAAGTAAGAGTCAGGTCTATGGTCAAGAGCAAAACAAGAGCAAAAATAGTAGGACTATAACAAAATGTTTAAAAAAAAATGAAAAAATAAAGAGAAATATGAATAAACAAAAAAGTTTTTGTAATTTAAAGTGAACAGATTTGAAAAGCGGTGGCATTGAACAGAATTGTGCAAAATATACAGATTGATTTGCAGGGTTTACAGCAGGGGTGTCAAACTCAAATACACAGTGGGCCAAAATAAAAATATGGGTACTAGTCGAGGGCCGGACTGGTTCAATGTTTATTGCAAAACTTATTGAAATGAACTTATTGCACATATTAAACCTGGAACTAACAAAGCTTAAATTATTGCCAATAAAAACAACATTAAACATTAAATAATCAGTTGCATTCATTTCTTATGGCTCTATCTGCAGCTTTTCTGGAGTCATTTCTTATGATTACATTTTTCCACAGGCCAACAGGCCGGAAAAAAGTGCAGAAGGAAACAAGCATTAAACTCAGGTTGCTCTGTGATGCTAGTTTAAGCCAGATACTTGGCATCTCATCTTGGGTGCAAGTCCATCAATGTTTGGGGTCAGGCTCTGAGCTGAGGAAATCCTCAGTATTGAGTGAAGGTGTGCGTGCAATATACCGGCGGGCCAGATCTAATAGTAATTAAAAATTATATTAATTATTAAGGGCCTGATTTGGCCCCCGGAACTTGAGTTTGACACATGTGGTTGACAGTATTAAAACGAACAAGATGTGCATTAATGTTATTTATTCATGCACTGCTGTGACCCTAAGATGCACTACACTGTTTAAATATGAAATATCTATATGAAACTGTTTCTTAACCTGATTTACGCTACCTATAAAGATTGGTAAATTTGAACTTAAATAATCACATATCTAATTGATCGTTTTGTGATATTTTGTGTCTTCATTCTATTTCTACAGGTTAACGGTGGCATGTTTGTGATTTTGGCGACACCTGTCTGTATTCATGGTGAAATATAAACTGCACACAGTTCCTTTTGGTCCCACTAAGAGGCAGTGCTGCACTGCTTAACATCTGCAGGACAAAGTCTGTGAAAGGGAAATAAGTTTGGCACATTGCATCTCTTTCACAGACACAACAGTCGTTTGTTGCAGGGAATGTATCATCATTTTAATATACAAACAATTACAGCATCACAACTCCAATTACCAACATTACAAATATATTATCAGACTTTTTTGGGAGTGAAAATTGCAAATGCTAATTGTTCCTTTCCACATCTGTTCTAGCTTGCTGCTCATCTGGACTGTGATTCCCCTGAGAGTAATCTGAGGTGTCAGGGTGGAGGGTGAGGTGGTCATCTCCACATGAAGATGGACTGCAGAGAAGGAGAGAGTTGTGACCTTTGGTTGCTGATCCTCCAGCCAACCTGTTAAATATTTAACTTGGATGGGAGAGCTGAGGCTTCTGCTTCAGGAATCCAGCAGGCGTCTGCAGACTAATATCTCCGGACTGAGGGAAAAACATGGGAGTGTGGATCACTGATAAAGCTCCCCGCTTAACGGAAGCTTTATACTTTCTCTTTAGTTACAGAAACACAGCTGAAGTTCTGCTGGGACTGAGGCTTTAAAACGGAAATCAGTAGCTACTACTTCTCTTGGCTTTGCTGCAAGGCTTTCCTCATACTGGGTGAGTATGGTGCTGGAAGAAAACATGGAAACACTGAGACTTTTGAACTGTGTGTGTGTGTGTGTGTGTGTGTGTGTGTGTGTGTGTGTGTGTGTGTGTGTGTGTGTGTGTGTGTGTGTGTGTGTGTGTGTGTGTGTGTGTGGGCATGCATCTGTATTCAGAAAAAGTTGTTCTTGAATATAAAGATGGACTTTGCAAAGTGACAGGTGAGCAATAAAGCCATGTCATAGAAAGCCCTCCAGACTCTTTGTTCCTGATGTGAATGAGGTAAAAACGGTGAATAGATAGTGCTGTTATGACATGTGTGTTATTCAGGTCTTTGAGATGACTATGGAAATTGTCTCTTATTCCCTCACACGTGAAACACTGGAGGGAGGTGCCACTGCGCCTGTGCCTGTATGGGAATCTCTATTATTTCCAGCTGTGGATGGAAACTATTACGGAAGGGCCTTCTCCCTGATGAGCTTTAAAGTGCATGCTTACACACACACACACACACACACACACACACACACACACACACACACACACACACACACACACACACACACACACACACACACACACACAAACTTGGGAACATAAGCCACACACACACACACACAGAAACTTGGGAACATAAGCCACACACACACACACACAGAAACTTGGGAACATAAGCCACACACACACACACACACACACACACACACAGAAACTTGGGAACATAAGCCACACACACACGCCTACGGACCCTCAGTCAAACATTCAGACCCACGCTGAATCATTCACCGAAGATAAAAGACACCCTGTTGGCCCGAGAAAGAAAAGAAAGAAAGAGGGAGGGAGAGGGAGAGGAGAACAGCAACGGTCCCTCCTTCCTCTTCATTCACTTCCTCTGCACTGAGGAGACCTCACTGCTCAGCCTGCACCCGATTGTAAGTATTGCACCAATTATTTTACAACACAGACAACTTTTTCCAGCTTGCCATGAGTTTGATTTTGGTGTTTCCATGTATTTTGAATGACTATTGATTTGGAAGGCAGCTGCGTCTGGCACAGATTTGAGCATCATGTTGTCATAATTTGAAACCTCTGAGACAAACAAGATAAGGGCTGTTTGTTATCTGTGCTGTCATCGTTATTGCTGTTTCTTTTTGAATTTTCAGGACGTTGTTATGTAACAGTTGTGGATTTACTTGTCAGACTTTACTGTGTCAGATGCCAATCTTTTACTTCAAAATCGGCTTCATGTTGTGGCTTCAGAGGTTTGAATGTTTTCCAGTGAGAAATGCACTTTTTATCACCAAACTTTTC